GGGTGTAGGGGGAGGGGTGTAGGGATGATACACTGTAGAGACAGGGAGGGGTGTAGGGATGATATACTGTAGAGACAGGGAGGGGTGTAGGGATGATACACTGTAGATACAGGAATGGTGTAGGGGGAGGGGTGTAGGGATGATACACTGTAGAGACAGAGAGGGTGTAGGGGGAGGGGTGTAGGGATGATACACTGTAGAGACAGGGAGGGTGTAGGGATGATACACTGTAGAGACAGGGAGGGGTGTAGGGATGATACACTGTAGAGACAGAGAGGGTGTAGGGGGAGGGGTGTAGGGATGTGCAAAAGAGACCAGCAGCTGATCCAGACTCTGATGGGTCTGACCCCATGTCAGAAATTGATTCTGATTCATCAGAAGGTTCAGATGACAGTCACACTGACATTGAATGATGGAAGGACAGTTTTGATTGACATCTTAATGACATGAGTTCTGCTACTTAATAAAGATACTGGCAGAGGATTTAAAAGCTTTTTAATATTTGGAAACTTATTTAACTCAGTCAGAGTTTTGTTCTTTCTTTGTTGTTGTCGTAATCTAGTTATGTTATTGCGATTATTTGCCAAAACACATTACCCATAGTTAGGATACAAATAAATTATTTAATGAATGTAGCAACCGGGCCACCTGAAAATCCATTTGGCCACCTGAATCTCATACTCAAGTGGCCCGGCCGGCCACCTGAAACACAAGTTAAGGGCAAGCCCTGATAGCATTCGGCTAACTTCGTCATGACGTCATGACTGAAAGCAGGCCAAACTCCACGCCAGATGGCGCTCTCACTCATGGGCTCAATCTACCACTGCCAAAAGCAGATTTCCGTTACAATTTGTAACACTTTTTTACTACAAGTTTTACAGCAGCAACGTTACTCGTATCCTATGTAATAAGATTTGGACGAATAAAAGTTACAAGTGCCGCAGTGCGACAGGGCTCATCTGGTGTCTGGTGTTCTGCTGATAAATTCATTTGCGCATAGCAAGACGTCTTATACATAAGTCTTCTTTATTCTTGTTTGACTTTCGTAGCCAATTCGAACAAATATATCAGCTACACTTTCGCACCCACCTAATCTCTGTGGGCTAATTCTAGAATAACAAGAACAATAATAACAATTCAAATACAAGTTAATGAATGACATTGACGTTGACATAAGATTTCAACATATGAGCATGGCTCTCCAAGTTTAATTAGAGGGGGCGGGGGGGTACATCACTCCCACCTCCCTCCCCACTGAGTCCCACTTCCCTCCCTCCTGGCTCTCACCTCCCTCCCCCTGCCTCCCACTTCACTCCCCTTGCCTCTCACTTCCACCCCCTTACCTCCCATCTCCCTCCCCCTGCCTTCGACCTCCCTTCCCCTGCCTCCCACCTCCCATCCCCTTGCACACCATCTCGCACGACCTAATTGTACCCCGTTTCCCGCTCGCATACACACTGTATTAACGTTTTCCTGTCCCCGTCTCAATTTACTACTCTCTCTCTCTCTTTATCTTAGACTTTCTCTCTCTCGCTCTCTCTTAGTTATATAAATTTTTTTTTAAACCAGCAATGATGCCTTTTACTGCTCCCTCAATAATACTTCATTCCTATGCCCCTGAGTGTAACAGCCATAGAAATAATAATATATAGTGTCTCTAATATTTCTATGGTAACAGCTTATGTTCGCATAACTGGTAAATGGATACGCACGGCCCTAGCCACATGATATATGTTAAGATTCAAGATGAAAAGTAAATATATATTATATGGTACTAGTCAGGGCTCGAATTAACCGACGGCACCGACGGCAATTGGCGTCGGTGCTCTTATCAATCGCCGTACTGCCCCTGAAAATCCAACCCGACCGACAGCAGTCTCCTGCCTTGCCCTTTTGTGTAATTGCCGTCGGTGCCCTTTAATCTACTGCCCTAGTTTCGTTTTTAGTCGACAGAGTCAACATAAACACGTGCGCGTACGTGCTGTAGCTGCAATGATGAAGCTTAAAACCGATAGTCGCAGGAGGGAATAATAACAGCATCGATATTAATTCGCTCCTGATGAGCGGCATGTAAAATTTCTTTGTTTAGCTGTACACTTCCATTAGCAGAGGGTGGTACAGGGTCGATGGTTACGGTGTAAGCTTACATGGGGGCATATTGTTTTGTAGCATTAAAAGCAAGACGATGTTGATGTACTAAGTTTGTTATAAGTTTTCCTTTATTTTACAAAAGTGCCTTTGTGCCCTCTCAAATTTTGAGAGTTGCCTTGGTGGCCTTTTAAATTGCCTCTGTGTCCTTCCATTTTAGCAGAAAATTCAAGGCGATATTCTCACACGCCCATAAAAAATTGGCCTTGTCCTTCTCGTCGCTTAATTCGAGCCCTGTACTAGTATACATGAATGCAAAGTTAACATGAGAATAAAATCTAATTTAAACTAGGCCAAGTTGCCGCGAGATGGCGCGTGAAAGTGTAATCAATAATTACATTGTGCGCCCATCTTACTACTTTTCAAATCATGCGCTGTTTTTACGAATCTCCATTCGCTGGGATTTCCCTGGAGCTTCCGCCCACTTTAAAAATAGTGCTACATTGTGGCAGTGGCATCCTGAGTGTACAAAGGTGCACTGCATGGCAGGTTTGAAAGCAGGCATCCACATGATACATTCGATTCTTGGAGTCAAAGTTAGCCGAACGCTATGGCGCATTGGGAATCTGTACGTCACAGGTCAACAAAATGGCGCTCAGAATATCACGCGCTCATCAACCTCGAAATTTTGTAACCGGTTATAATAGTTTAATACAGAGTATTGTGATACATTGTTAAGTCCCAGGATAGCGGAGAAAGGTTCGTGTTTAGAAATAAACGCCAGTTTGGAAGTTGTAGTCTCCGATAAACACACCATAAAACCGCCTAGTCCGAGATTCCTCTGACCCAATCCCACACCGACGATTTTTGGTAGATTTGTGTGGGTTAGATCAGAACAACTTGCGTAATACAAAACGTCGAATTCTTACGATCCCGCCAAGGATGGCTGTTTCATCGCTCTAAACTCACAATTGGGCTATCAATCAAGACCTGACGCACATAGATCGAAATATGGATAACTATATGCTCTGCCTCGCGTTGGTAAGTACAACTTGTACTCTCTTTTACCGCTTAGTCGTATTTCGATTTGAAAATTTGTTGCTAACAATTTCGCCTCCCGACATGCGGCCATCCACGTGCATGTCACCTGCATTTTGGGAAACTACCACGCTACCAAAATATGCTACTCCTGTGTTTCCCAAAATGCAGTTGAATGGCCAGCGATGGATGGCCGATGTCGGAGGGAAATTGTTAGCAACAAATTTTCAAATCGAAATACGACTAAGGTAAAAGAGTACAAGTGTACTTACCACGGCGAGCCAAGCCATATAAGTTATCCAGTTTTCTATGTGTGCGTCAGGTCTTGATTGATAGCCTCAATTGTGAGTTTGAGCGATGAAAATGCACAGGCGATCCTCACCGGAACGGAGAAAATCCACGTTTTGTATAGGCAAGTTGCTCTGATCTAACCCACACCAAATCTACCAAAATCGTCGATGTGGGCATTGGTCAAGGAAACTCAGGCCCAAAACGTTTCAAGGATAGAGAAACATGGTCCCAATAACACCAAGTCATTTACATCAATAAAATATAATATTATATCAATATAATAGGTTAGGGTTATGGTTAGGTTAGGATTAGGGTTAGGGTAGGGTTAGGCACATTGGTTTTATCTGGGACCATGTTTCTCTATCCTTGGAACCGCCTGAGTGAATCACTCAAGAGTTCCTCCAAAGAAAAGAATAGGCCTCGCGTTGTAACCCTATCCTGTGTTTTGGGTTACATTATTGTATCTAATGTTTACCGACTCAGTAAGAGTAACACAGTGCTGTCGCGAGCCGGCTAGAGAACAATGATACGAGACTTTTCTATTCTATTTGAAATATTTCTAAGACTAGTCGGACTCTAACAACGATTATTATTATTATTAAACTACACGAACACGGTTCTAGATTCCACTTTACTTTGATCGCTTATCGTTGTAACTCCGCTGCTGACGCTGACTTTAACTCAGGTGGATTAGTATCGAATGTCTTTAGACACTTCTTTCAGTCTCAGCAAATCGATTAAGACGCGGCAATTTGTAAGTAAAAATGGCGACAGTCGCGAGGGAAGCGATTTTATGCGAACACACGGCGTAATCAAAATATTATATATATTAGGAGCCGTGATTCGTCTACGTTCAGACATGCTGTTGAAATCGTAGTTGTGATTGGATGATCCTGGACCATGCCTTTTGTTGACATCATGGCGGAAAAGTTAACAGGTATGTAATCTCTCTCGAGTCTCTATCTATTAGATTTAGTATTATGTTTAATGTCTTTCAAGTGTGTATGCAGTGTTAAATATACAAATTTTATTTTAATGAAATTACACTAAATCATTGGCTATATCGTAGTCCGCTTCACGCGTATATAAAATATTTTTAATGATGAATGAAACCACGTTTTATAATTTCAATGAATGGATTTCGTGAGCATAGCCATATTAAAGCCGCGTTCACAACGGTCATGATTTGCCCATTTGGCTCGAGCCAAATGGGCCCAGATTTGGCTCTGGCCAAAGTTTGGCTCGGGCCGGTTTGAGTCGGCGCGTTCACACGTACGCAAGTGAATACTGTCTGCCAAATTCAAATTCAAAGTAAAAATAAATTTTATTGCACAAATATCTCACACTCACAGTCACAGATACTTTGGCAGTTACTGAGTATGTTCGCGAGCATGGCGTGTTTTACTATTTAGAGTGTTTACTTACGTTCCGAGTTTAATTACGCAATTTTGAAAAACGTGGCATCAGGACTGATCAAATTTTTCGAATTTTTATACTGTTTGGACTTTATTCGTTGAGTACACGTTTACACTCGCGGCAATCCTACCGCTCACTCATCTACCTCTCTAGCGCTCGCCGAAGCCTGTGCTAAAAATTGGCTCGGGCCTGGTCCTAACGTTTTCGATGGGACCAAATCTGGCTCGGGCCTAATTAGGCTCGGGCCAAAAACGTCCGTGTGAACGCTCGGGGCCTCGGAGGCCAAATCTGGCAGCGGGCAAATGTAGGCTGGCCAGAAAACGTCCATAAGTGCATGATACTGTGAATTGTGATAGTAGCATACGTCCTATACGACGTCAAAAAATGTTGAAATTATTTTTCTAATAAATTTTATCTATTTATATCCTTTGATACAGGTGTTTGCCTTGCCATCCATTAGCAGGCTGTATACACAGTTTGAATCGCCA